GTACTTTATATGTGAAAGTTGATAGCGTTAAATCTCCTGAGGGTCGTTATATGCTACCAGCTAATCATACCCACAGAGCATAGGGGAAAAACTAAAATTACAACTTTTGATTCTGCTGATGATGCTTTTCTTAAACCAATTTTATCATCTACCATCTTTTTATATCCTTCTTTTCCTTCTTTTCCTTCTCTTTCCCCCTCCTCACTACCCTCCTCACCCACCCCCTTCCTACACACACACAAACATTTTATCTTAAATAAAAAACCTTATTAAAAAAAGACAGGTGATTTTGTTTTGGTTTATTTTATTTATTTATTTTTTTAATTAAATGATAAAATCACCGACCGGAAACGATTTGATTAGTAATACAATAGAAATTGAAAATTTATGAGCTTAAAAAAAAAAAAATTTTTTAACCACCACCGCCATTTCTGCCTCCCCACTAAAAATCCGAAAGAAAAAACAACAACAACAACAACAGGAAAATCTTATTTCATCCATTTCTATTTTTTAAATTCGAAATGAAAATTTGTTTTTTTTAATTAAATAACAATAATATTACCATTTTGAGAAGGAGAAGAAGAAAAATAGCCGTAAATATTTTCAAACCCGACGGAAAAGGAAGGACTCATCGATTTCGATGCAAAGAAAAAAAAAAATTAAAATATTTTCCTCACACCATTTCCGGTTTCCTTTTCCTCCTACCAATTGCTACCATCGACGCCATTTTATAAAACGATTCAAATAAATCTATTGTTTTTTTTTTTTCTCACTACCACGTGTCAATTCCTCACGATGACGATGATGATGACGTCATTTTTACAAAATAATCAATGAATTCTAAAACTAATGGCCGAAAACAATAAAATAATATTTTTTAAAGTGAAAAATAATTTTTTTTTTGTTTAAAAAAGAAAATCTTTATTTTTCCGGTATTACGTAGATTAGAAAGTCTCCCTGATTTATTGCTGCGGTAAAAAAAAAAAAAAAAACTAAGCTTCTTTTGAATTTTATGGCGTTTTTTTTTACTTGGCAGTCAATTCCAATCCGTTTATGGAACGAAACCAAATACACACAAAAAAAATTTATTCATCATCATCATCATCATCATCATCATCATTATCATCGAAAGCAATAATTGTTTTTCCTATCATCATCGTCGCATTTCTATTATTATTATTATTATTAATATTAGTCGTCGCGACAAGTTTAATAATACTAGCAATAATTCCAGATTTTTTTTTACTAAATATCGATGACGATGTTTCCATTTAAATTATCATTATTAATATCATTCGATTTTTTTTGTTTTTAATAAAAATGTTTTTCACGTTTGTTTTTCCGTCTGCTTCCACCTCCCCTTCCCCCTTCTTTTCCTCCCCCCCCTTTTTTTTCGGTAAATATTGTATGAAAGGTTTTAAAAATTACCTCGGGATAAAAAAGAAAAAAAATATTTTATTTACGTCGGACTGCTAAAGAGAGAGAGAGAGAGAGAAAAAAACGATCGAACCATAAATTAAGATGTTTTTTCCTTTTTTATTTTTATTTTTTTTGAAAAAACACCAACAGAAGCTGGAGAATCAGCAACAGCGCATCGCAAAAAAAAAAAGAAATTTTTCTTATTTTGCTGATGTGTAAAATGGTTTACAAGAAGAGAAAAAACAAAAAAAAAACTATAAATCCTGTTCGGTCACTTTTTATTCCGTTTTTTTTTTTTCCTTTGACACCTTTTTTATTCATTCCTTTTTCATTCCTTTTTTTCTTACCATTTTTCGTAAAATTTTCTGTCGCGAAAAGTCTCAACAAAAACATTACCCGACAAATCCCCGCAAACGAATTTTACACCGTCGGCTATAAAATATAATTATTATTATTTAAAAACTTAGTAAATGACGTCATCGACTTAATGACGATACGAGTATTAAATAATAATAATAATAAATTTGTTGATTTTTTTTTCTGCTGTGTAAAAATTAAAAATTTTCCAAATTTTAGACGATCGTCGACATCATTAATTTTTTTTTTTTTTATAAAAATCGAAAAAGGATTGAAAACATTAAATCGCCAGGTGGATAAGACGTTTTCTACAGTTTATAAACTGTAGAAGTGTAAAAAAAGGTTGCAGACGAAAAAAAAAAAACAAAAAAGGTTTAAACTGAAAGGTTTCGAACGAAAAAAAAAAAAAAATTCGGGGATAAAACGTTGTTGAAAATGTTAAAACACAAAATGATTATATCTATTACGTTATTTTTACCCCCTCCCCCCGCCTTCCCTTTTATAAAAAAAAGGTTCAACCTTTTTTTTAACCAAATGATAATAATTTTTAATTTAGGTTTTAACGTACAAAACGTGTACATAATCACGCTCTGCAAAATTTACCAACAAAAAAAATTAATACAAACACTTTAATTGTTTTATTCATTTCCGAATCGTTTTTTTTAAATGGCGTTATCATCATTATCATCGTCGACGTCATTATTATTAACGTAAAATAATTTAAGTTCGATTTAAGTACATTAAAAAATAAATTTTTTTTTTTTTTAATTTGGAAAATTTTGATAAAAATTAATTTTAAAAAAGCTATACTTTCCCATTGATTAAACAAAGAAAAAAAGGTCTTCTAAAGGTGAAAATTTCGTGACGAAAAAATTATTATTATTTAAAAGTGGAGACAGGACGACTCGGTACGAAATTTTAACCCTTTTTTTTTTGTTAATTTAAATAATGTTTAATTTTATTTTAAATTTAATGAAGATAATAGCAGAAGAAAAAAAAAATTAAGAGCCGCCATTTTTCTTTTTATCCAAAGTCCAAAAAAAAAAAAAAAAAAGAAAAAAATGAAAAAACTTACCCTGGAAATTGAGAATTTAATTTACAGTCCAAGATTTTTTATTTTTCACTTTAAAAAAAAAAAAAAAAAAAACTTCTGGAACATTCTTAAAATATATTTTTAAAAATTTATCTTTTTTTTTGTTGTTGTCGTTTCACGTGTTGTTCGGCCATTTTTTTTTTTTAACGACGTGTAAAAAGAAAAACGTGGCAGGATAAAATTTGTTAAACGAATGAAAATATTTTTACTATTAATTTAAAAATATGGAGAAAATCATCTCATCACAACCGTTTTTTTTTTTAATTTTTAATAATAATAATAATTATTATTATTAATATCGCGAGGTTTAAATAAATTTTAGTAAATGAAAAACGTTTTCGTTGAAAATTAAAAACAAAAAAAAAAAAACATTTTTTTCTTTTTACTGACACGAAACAGAAACTTACAAAAAAAAAGAAAAGAAAATTTGGAATTTATATATTTTTCTTTCTCTCTCTCTCTCTTCTCCAGCAAAAAAAAAATGATTCTAATTTTAGCAGACGATAAAATCATTACGTAATTTATAAAACAAAAAAAAAAAAAATTTATGAAATTTAAAGAAATAAAAACAGACACCCATCGTCCAATAAATTTCATTTTTTTCTCTTTTTCTCTCTCTCTCTCTCTTCCATTTGTAATCTTTCAATTACATTCGTTAAATACGTTTTATCACCATTTTGGAGAAAACGTTTTTTTCAGTATTTTTTTTTCTTTTTCCATTCGTTCTTACGTATCCCCCCTTAAAATTTATCGTGTAAGGTAACGTCACAATAACTAATTCTCCAGAATAAAAAAAAAAAAATCCGAAAAACGACGTGTAATAAGAATTTTTTTTCTTTTTCTCTCTACTACCACCATTTCAAATTCCAGTACAATGTTTTTCTTTTTCTTTTCTTTTCTTTTCACTACTCTTTATAAAAAAAAAAAAAAAATTTTTACAAAACTAAAAGTAATAATATTAATGATGATAAACAAGGCACGATATGTGTCAAATATGGCGTCCATTTTAAGGTTTTTTAATTAATTCTTCGATGGTGAAAACATTATTACATTTGTTTTTAAAATCGTTATTTAAATCGAAATTACAATTCGATTCGATACTACTAAATCTCGTTAGCATGAAATCTTTTAAAAAATCGATTCTCGAACCTGAATCCGACGATCCTAAATTAATTATTATCTTATTATTATTATTATTATTATTATTATTATTATTCCAATTTAAATTCGTTTCGATGCCGCCGCGATCGCCGCCGCGATCGCCGCCGCGATCGCCGTCGCCGTCGTCGTCACCGTCGTTGACATCATCGTCGTCGTCATCGACGTCACCACCGCCATTTTTCCTTTTCCAACCACATAATTTCGATTCTGCCATTTTGTCGTCGTCGTCGTCGTCGTCGACGTTGTTTTCGTTGTAGTTTTTGTCGTGGAAAGAGACGTGACGTGAAGAAAATGCCGTTTTCAATAAAGTTATCGATTTTATCGATTGTTGATTTAAACAATGATTAACGTAAGATGACGTCGATTGTAAATATTTTTCTTTTTGTAATGCCGTGGCAATAGTCATGTCTTTGATGGCCTGATAAAAAAAAAAAATTTAGTTTAGGTTTAATTACCCGGAAGGTAATAAAAATAAATAAAAAAAAAAAAGGTTCGATTGTAATGTATGCGAATTTAAGAGGGGACAAGGGTGGGAAGGGAGGGAGGGAGGAAGGCGGGAGGATTGATTGATCAATCTTGTTTGTTTTGTTTTATAGCGTGTTGTGTGTTTTCTCTCTCTCTCTCTTTCTCTTTCCCAATTTCTCTTCACTTTTTTTTTTGTTCTTCCACTCTTTCTCTCTCTCTCTCTTTTAATTTAAAACGTTTATCTTGTTAAAAAGGTTTCCTTTTTTTAATATAATAATAATAATAATAACATTTTATTTATTTTTTTTAAATTTGGATTCTGTTTTAAATCTTTTCGTTGTGACGTAGAATTTATTTAATTCTCCAAAAAAAAAAAAAATTTATTATCCAAAAAAAAAAAAAACCGGAAATATTCAATCCGGGGGGAAGGGGGGAAAGACGGGTTCGTTTCGATTTCGTTTCGAAGGTTTAGGAGAAGACGGTTGAGAAAAATTTTTATTTTTGTTTATACCTGTATTTGCCTTTGATTTCCTCTTTGACGTTTTGATCTTCTTCTTCTGTAGTTTCCGTTTTCAAACATGTCAATGGCACCAGGTCCCAATGTCCAGTAACTACCTTTACCACCGGAAGAACAAGATTTATTCCTTGGTATTTTAACAAAACAATCGTTTAAACTCAAATTGTGACGTATTGAATTTTGCCATCCTTGTTTGTTTTCTCTGTAGTAAGGAAACCTGTCCATGATGAATCTGTTCAAAAAAAAAAAAATAGATAAATAATTTTGCGAGAACTATTTCCGGTTGATGATGATAGTGAAATAAACGTTGGATTTTTGGAAAAGTTTCAACTCTTTTCCAGACACAAACGATATAAAAAAAAGTGGAGGGGAGGGGGTTAAATTTAAAAAACCGATCGATCGTGATATATATATTATATTGAAATGTTTTTACTTTTTTTTTTGTTATCAGTTTCCATTTCCGGTAAATATAAATCGTAATAACGGGCCGGTACGAAATAATAATAATAATAATAATAAATTAAAACAAACTAACCTATAAATTCCACTTAATGTTATTTTTTTACCGGGTGCCGAACTTATAGCCATCGCAATTAAAGCAATATACGAATATGGCGGTTTTTCCGGTCTAGTATTAAAAAAAAAATTTTTTTCTCGTAGTTTAATCAAATGTTGATTCATTAGTGATTTTATATGTGTTTCACGCGAAGCAGAAGACATTACGTACGGATCAAATATTATTTCCGGTAATGACGTTATTTTATTTAAATCCGTTGTTGTTAATTGTTTTTTATTTTTGTATTCCATCGATTGTGTATTATTTTCGTTACAAGTTGTTTTATCTGGAAAAAAAAGGAAAATTAAAAAATCCGATCGATAAAATTTCTGGAGAAAAATGAAAAAAAATAAAAATTCAGCAAAAAAATTTTTTTTGCGCTTAATTTCTTTCGCGTGGTTTTTTTTCCTTTTTTTCCTTTTATTTCCTTTCTCAAAAAAAAGAAAAGAACAAAGGAAAAAAAAGAGATTTTGTAATTTATTCAAGCGACAAAAACATTTTTTTTTCTCCACATTTTATTACCCGAAATATCTTTGGATTGTATCATCATCATCATTTGAGATGATGCTGGAGAAAGATAAGATGAAATCTGAGGATGAAAATTTAACCAATTTGTACCATTTGCGAATCCGTTCAACGGTAACATTTTTTCTGGAACAAAATAAAAAAAATTTAAAAAAATTCATTCGATCGATCATATCGATTCGTTTAAGTAATTAAATCATAAATTATTATTTTTTTTTTTTGTCGGAAAATTGAAGTTAATTTTCCAGGCTGGCGATTCCAGTTTTTTCTAAATAAAAAAAAAAAACAAAAAAATCTTTCACGTGCGACGAATAAATTTATCAACGGCATGACTGAACCTGGAAATATTTTATATATCCGATGGATTTATACAAAAAAAAATAAATTTCTCCCTATCTCCTTTTATTATTATTATTATTATTATTATTATTATTATTATCGTTATCATCATCGTTTTGATAACGAGAATTTTATTTTAAAAAAAATAAAATAACAAAATTACCTGTGATTTTTTTTTTTTTTTTTAAATAAAATTTATTGTCAGGTATATTTATTTTTATCCAAAAAGAAAAAAATGGAAAAGTTTCTTTTTTCCATTTTTCTTTTCTTTTTCTTTTTATTTCCTTTTTATTTATTATTATTATTATTATTATTATTATTATTATTATTATTATTATTATTATTATTATTATTATTATTTTCTCGTCCTGGAATTTTTCCAGAAAATTTACGGTTAAGTTATTTTACAAAAAAAAAAAAAAAAAATTTTCTTATAAAATAATTTAAAATTGTGTTTAAAATAGGTTATAAGCATGAAAATAATAATAATAATAATAATAATAATAATAATAATAATAAGGGTGTTCCATGGTTGACAAGCCTTTTTGTCATATCGTTTTCTTTAATTAATTTTAATAGTTTTTTTTTAGGGTTTATTTATAAGTTATATATCAAAAGTTTTGTAATTTAATCTAGTTTACAGTGATATAATTAGTTTTTTAAATTATTTAGTAATAACTGTATTATCTCAAGTTTAAATTTACAAATTGTTCAACGATTCCATGTGACAAAAGGAAGCGTGGGCAATAAAAAACCTTAGAAGGCACCTTAGTACATATAAGTTAAACGGATAAGTACCTCATTTTAAGACTTAAATTTCAATTGTAAAACGTTAGGCTAACAAAGAAATTGAACACATAACCAAAAAATTTTTTATTTTTATTTTTTTTTTATATTTCTTTGGTTAATTATAAGTGATTTGACTATTTATATCTTTATCTTATTTAACAAAATAAGAATTAAAATATTTTTACAATAACATAGGTTGATACATGATTTTTTCAGGGTGTAATTTCTATACCCCTATTGTTAAGTGTTAACTTGTGATTGTATGTTATTTTAGCCTTGTCTTAAGCTAACTTAATTCATTGTAGTAAAGTTTATTAACAATAACATAGTGTAACTAATACCTTTCTTAAATCTGAATCAAATTAGGAAAGAATAGTAGTAGCCTTTATATTAAGTGATATTAGTGTGAAAGGGTACAACAGATTTCTCTTTAACCAGACTTCATTTAATAAATTTTGCATCTTTTGAATTACTTATAAGAGTTAAATATCTTTGTCATAGTAAATAAGAATAGAGGTAGTTCAATATAAATACTCATTATCTATTGGTTTAATGTAATGTATAGCTGGATATAACATCTCTGTACTCCTGTGTTAATCTACTGATTGTTTTAATACAGAATATTTTGCCATATACTTTATGCAAATCTCCATTTTGATCTACATTAACACTAGCAGAGATAAATTTTTTTTTTATATACTACTTAATAATAGTACAGAATTGTAATTTGTATGTTGTGCATACAGTTAAGTGTAGTCTATGTAATCTCTTTTATCCTTAAATTAGTTTGTTTTGTTACTGCTTAGTTTATAATCTTGATAGTGTAATATTACCTGTAAATTTGATTCAAGATCAATTAATTAAGTTATAAATAAGTAGCCTTTTAGTATTTGTTTCTAATGTAAAAATTGTGAAAAAGCATTATACATTTGAGGGACCATAACTTAAACAAACTTTATACAACTTAAGTTGAAGTCTAATTGCATATTATAGCTAAGTAGTCTAGCCAAATATAATATATAAGTAGTCTCTACCATACTCATTGAAAATAGGGATAACTTAACAAAATAGTTTAATAAGATAGTTAGTAATATCTGATTTAATATATCAATTGGGTAAAAAATTTGTTCTGTCTAATCCAGTTGTTTGATAACTAGTGTTCTAATTGTATAATATTTAACCTTACATTAAATTGTTTCTGCCTTATTGCAGCATATTTTACATGATTTACAGCAAATTGACTTTTATAAGAGTAAGAGACATAAGTGATAAGTTAAAAAAAAATCTTATAATAGTGAATTCTAAGTACTGAATTAGAAAATGTTTTGTTATAAAGGTGAATGAATTTATAAATTTATATATAGGTAAAAAGAGCAAAATGAGAACAAGACAAAGTAAGAACCAAAACAAATCTTGTTCTACTGTCGACCTGAGGCAGCTCGACGAGAATGTGAATTTCACTGCTTCTGACCCTGGCCACTCCAAAGATGTTAGTCACCGGAGCCCAGTTCAGGAGACAACTCGTTCCCATCGAATAAGATGGACTCAGGAAGACCTTCAAGAATTGATGTGGTGCTATTTTTACTCTCAAAAATTTGGTTCAGGATCGGAAAGTGACACCTTTAAAATCTGGAGAGGAAGAAACCCAAACAGCAGGAAGGACATGACATCGAAGAAGTTGGCTGCCCAGAGAAGATATATAATGAAAGCACAAAAAATTGAAAATAATAAATTAGAAGAAATTAAGAAAAATGTAGACTCTTCGTGCAGTAATGTTATACGAGATAATGCACAAATAATAACAGAATTAAATGAGTCTAACCACAAGAGTAAAACCGATACTGACGAGCAATTGTTGACTGATGCAGAAATGAAGAGCATCGAAGAGAGACTAATTGAAGAGATAAAAAAAGTAAAGATGTGCCCATTAATAAACAGGAAGCCATTAAGGAAAATATACAAAAATAAAAAGGCAACTGAAGTTTTACATCTTATAGATAACACCCTCATAAATGTATTAGAAAAAGTGGTAGACATTAATTTAACCACAATTAATGAAATTATATATGCTGCGGGGGTAGTTGCCACAGATATTATACTTGGGCCAAGAAAAGAAGCTCGTCATAAAGGAATGGAAACAAAAAAGTCAACATCACCAATATGGATACAAAGAATAGAGGGAAAAATAGAAAGAATAAGATTACATATCTCCCTGGTATCCGAAATGAAGAAGAATAATAATTTAAAGAAGAGGACAATAAAGAAACTGGATCACCTTAAAAGGATCTATAAATTGAAGACCATGGAAGATATAGAACTTACCATGGAAACTTTAAAACAAAAGGTATTGCTCTATTCTCAGAGAATAAGAAGATATAAGAAGAGAGAGCAGTTTTGGCGACAAAATAAATTGTTTGAATCGGACCCAAAGAAATTTTATAGAACAATTAGAGAGCAGAACATACAAAATGGATCCAGCACCTTAAATGTAGAAAAAATGGCAGACTTTTGGTCGAATATATGGGAAAAATCTCATCCACTAAATAAGAACTCTACATGGATGAATAAAGAAAAAGAAGCGCATGCCTGGATTGCTTCTTCAACAATGTCGGATGTAAGAATGGCGGATTTAGAAACATGCCTAAAAAACACGGCCAATTGGAAAAGTCCCGGATTAGATAGGGTACAAAATTTTTGGATTAAGAATTTTACAAGTACCCATAAGTATTTACTGGTATCCATAAATAAATTAATAATGGGACGGCAAGAAATGCCAGAATGGATAACCACGGGAAAAACGTATTTGCTGCCAAAAAAATCAGGAGCTATGGAACCGAAAGATTTTCGGCCGATAACCTGTTTGCCCACAATGTATAAAATAATAACAGCTATTATTGCTGAAAAGATTTATGGGCATTTAAGAAAAAATAACATTTTTCCTCCTGAACAATATGGATGCAGGAAAGGGTCTTACGGCTGCAAGGAGGTTTTATTAATAAATAAATTGATCATGGCCAGTGCAAAACAAAAGAGGAAGAATTTAAGCATGGCATGGATTGACTATCAAAAGGCCTTTGATAGTGTGCCTCACGAATGGATTATTGAGGCATTGAAAATATATAAAGTAGACCCTAACATTACAACGTTCTGCGAGAAGAGTATGAAAAATTGGTGCACCCAGCTGGAAGTGCAAAAATACTCTTCTAGAAAAATATTTATAAAAAGAGGGATTTTTCAGGGAGATTCATTGTCGCCACTTTTATTTTGCATGTCTTTAATTCCTCTATCCAGACAGCTTAATATCAAGGATCAAGGATATGAGTTGATACCGGGAGGCAGGAAAATTACCCATATGCTATATATGGATGACTTAAAAATTTATGCCAAAAATGAAGAGGAGTTAAATAAAATGTTACGGACGGTTCAAACCTTTTCCTCTGACATCAACATGAAATTTGGTTTGGAAAATGTGCCAGAATAAATATGTCAGAGGAAAGTTAAACAAAAGCAGAATATAGAAGACTCCGAAGAAGAACTTATTAAAGAATTGGACCCTGGATCATCATACAAATATCTGGGGATTGAAGAAAATTTTGGGATAGCCAACAAGGAAATTAAACCTCGATTGAAAAGAGAATATTTTAAAAGATTGAGGCTTATATTACAGTCGGAACTGAATGGAAGAAATAAGATAACCGCCGTCGGCACATTAGCAGTTCCTGTAATAGAATATAGTTTTGGCCTCGTAGACTGGACGAAAGAAGAAATCACGCACCTAGATAGAAGGACAAGAAAAATATTAACCATGAATGGTGCGTTACATCCAAAGGCTGATGTGGATAGATTGTACGTCAGCAGGAAAGATGGAGGAAGAGGATTAAGACAAATAGAAGCGGCACACCAGAATGCCATTATTGGAATGGGAAAATACATAGAATCCCATCAAGAGGACCCTATTTTAGCCCAAGTTATACATGCAGAAGAAAAAACTACAAAAAAAGGAGTTCTGAAAAGGGCAAAACAAATCGTCCTAGAAAATAAAGAAAATGAGATAATGGAAGAAGGGCAACTTGCAACTTATAATAGCAAAGCCCAATCTCAGAAGAAATTAATAGGCAAATGGGAACAGAAAAAATTACATGGGCAATACCTAAAAAGAATAAATGCCGAAGATATTAATAAGAAGAGCACGCACAATTGGCTACGGCGTGGAAAACTTAAAATTGAAACAGAAGCGTTTATTACAGCGGCTCAAGATCAGGCATTGCGGACCCATAACTATGAAAAAGTAATTCTCAAAGTCCGCCAAGATGACAAGTGCCGAATTTGCCAATCTCAATCGGAAACCATCGATCATTTAATTTCCGGTTGTCCGATACTGGCAAAACATGAATATTTAGAAAGGCACAATAAAATATGTCAATATCTCCATTGGAGTATATGCCGAGAATATGGAATGGATGGATTACCCAAGGAGTGGTACAACCACATTCCAAGCCCGGTTACGACAGTAGGTCCATGCACAGTTCTATATGATCAACAAATCCACACTGATAGAACTGTGCCAGCTAACAAACCGGATATCATACTCAGGCATAATGGGGAAAAATGGTGTAAGTTAATTGAGGTATCCGTGCCGGCAGAAAAAAACACCACAGCCAAAGAAGCAGACAAAAGGCTGAAATACAGAAATTTGGAAATTGAAATAACCAGGATGTGGGGAACAAAAACTGAAACGATTCCGGTCATCGTGGGAGCATTGGGAGCCATGCCACATTCAATAAAAGGAAATTTAAAGAAGATTATGAAGAACCTAAAAGAAGAAACCATCCAGGAAATCGCACTATGTGGGACGGCCCACATTCTTCGGAAAATATTATAAATAGCACCACCGATATTCGAGTATTTGTCCCTAAGGAATCGGGTAGAGACCTGGGATAAATGCTTAACAACCCCGACAAATAAGAGCCTTGTCGTGTTTAAGAGTGACCATAATAATAATAATAATAATAATAATAACCGTGAAATTTTTTTTTAAATATATAGTTGCTCTATAATATATATAGCGCGAGCTATAATTTTTTATTCTTATTTTATAGATTTAAAACTACAAATTTATAAATTTAAATTTAAATTTTTTTTACATGGAATAAATTAATTTTTTAATTTTTTTGTTTTTTTCGTATAACACAAATTATTATTATTATTATTATTATTATTATTATTATTATTTACCGTTACGAAAATGTGTTTTTTTTTTAAATATAGCAGAAAAAAATAAAACTATAATTTTATAGTTTACGTTTTTATACTTAAACCAAAATTATAGTCTATAAATTTTTTTTTTTTTTGGGGGAGGAAATCCGCGTTGAAATGAGATTAAAAAATTAAAATAAAATTTATTTTAACCGGAAACGAAAAACAACAAACAAACAAACGAACAAACGTTTTCACTCGTTTGTTTATTAATTAAAAATTTTTTTTTTTAAAACAAACCTTATAAATTCCAAACGAGTTCGATCGATCTCCCGCGCACGTACTCACACACAAACAGACACAAACAAAATGAAATGAGTGAAAAACGGTCAAATAAAAAACTTTACGTCGAATAAAAATTATTACTATTATTATTATTATTGCGATGACGATGACGATGACGATAATGATGATAATGATGATGATGAAGATTTTTTAATAAAGTAAATCAACTAGTGACAGTTGGACCCAACGAGAAGCAACTGATGGACCAATGAGTCAAAGAAAATGAAAAGTTTAAAAAAAAAAAAAAAAAGTTTATTTAAAAAATCAAACTCCTCCTCCTCCCTCAACCCCTCCTTCTCTTCCTCTTCCTCCTCTTCATACTCCCCCCTACTCCTCTCGAACACGCCAGTCAGTCATTTTTGTATGTGTGTGTGTGTGTGTTTGTGTTTATATATTATAGTTATGAGGTTCTTGCATCTGTTTAAATTGTTAATGACAAATAAAACAAAATTTAATGGTAAATAAACAAACAAACAAACAAACAAACAAAAACAACAACAACGAAAGGCGAGGGACCCCTCGCGCCCTTCCTACGCGTTTCTCTCTCTTAAAAAAATCGCAATCCTCGACCGACTACGACGACGACAACAACAACAACCCACAAACGTGTGAGAGATATTTTTTTTTATTTGTTAAATAAACGTTTTTATTTTAAACATTAAATAATAATAATAATAATAATAATAATAATAATAATAATAATAATAATAATAATAATAATAATGATAGTAATAATAATAATAATAATAATAATAGAATTAGGTAAAAAAAAAAGATGGCGATGACGATAGAGAGAAAGAAAAATTTTTATTATTTTAAAAAAGAGAGAGAGAGAGAGATTAAAAGGGGTAAGAAAAGGATGAAATTTTCTTTCTCCTTCGTCACCCTATCCCCCCACCCACTTTTTTTTGGGGGGGAGGAGTAAACATTATCAACACTCGTTAGCAAATATAATTTAAATTTTTTTTTTTTTTTTTTGATTTGTGAATCGTTTTTTGTCACGGAAATAGTTTATGGTGGGAGAGAAAGGAGTGTTGTTTTGTTTTGTTTAAAATTAATTAGTATTTTTAATTAAAATCCTAAATTTTATTTTTTAAATAATTATTCATTCAATTTTTTTTTACCTGTTCTCTCCCCTCCCCTTCTTCTTTCTCTTATCCTATCATCACTACCCCCTACCCCCCTCTCTCTCTCTCTCATCTCGTGTCTTTTTAATTTTTCCTTTTTCTCCCCGCGCGTTGTTTTTTCCATCCAAACCTTTTTTCTCTACTTTTTTTTTCTTCTTCATTTTCTTTTAAGTTTTATCTAGATGTGTATTTAATTAAATTAACCCTTTATTATCATTATTATCATCAATATTATTAATTTTTGTATTTCGTGCACGGAGTCGGAAAATTTCGGTGTTAAGTACTTCGTACCAGGTTTTCGCAGTAAAATTTTCAGTTTAGGTTTTTAAATAAAATTTCTTATTTTAAAATCAAAAAGATTTTTTTTCGGATGGTGGTGCTGATGATGATGGTGGTGGTGGGGGTGAGGTGACTTCCGGTACAACATCCACAAGAATTTTTCTTTTAACTGCGAATGCCTCTTACCCGACGGACGGCACGACAAACTTTTTGAATCTAATTCAATTTCCCCCCCCCCTGATGATGATAATGATAATTTGTTTCTGGTGACACGACAATTCATAACCGTGTTTATTAAAAAATTTTTTTCCTTTTAGTTTAAACTAATTAAAAGCCATTTAAAATGGCGATGATATTTCCCAAAAGATGAAAATTGTAATTTTGCATTTGTTGTTAATTAATCGACCGGAAAATTTTTTTTTTTTAATTCGAATTTAGTTTTTTTAGAAAAATAAAAATCGTTAATTTTACCCTTAGGAATAATATTATTATTACCATTATTATTATTTCTTTAACTGCGACATTTAAATAATTCGAAAAAGGTTTAATCGTTTATATCAAAAAAAAAAAATGTTTACGGAAAATCAAGTTTCCTTTTTCGTGAGTCCATACAATCCAGTTAACAAAATTTTCGTTAATAAAGTTTTTCATTATTCGTGAAATGACTACTTCCGTTTTAACATTCTAGAAATTTCTATTCCTTTACATTTTAGACTTTTTCCGTTTTCGTATTCGTTATCGAAATCAAAATCGTAACACGCACGCACACACACACACACACCAAACTCGTTGTAATTTATATTTACTCGAATTGTCGTTCCAGTTTATTTTCCTTAATTTTATTTAAAAGTTAATGGAAATTTTTTTTAAAAAAAGGGAGAAAAAACTGGAATTTCCAGGAGGAAAAAACTCCTTACTGGAATATTTAAAACAATTTTTTTTTTTTTTTAATTTGTTCGAATGATAAATCGATGTTTTCCTCGCTTAATATTTGTCGTGACAATTTAAAAAATCCTAAATAAAAATTACAATAATGATGATAATAATGATGATGATGATGATGATGATAATGATAATGATAATAAAATGAAGATTTTCTCCAGGTAAAAAAAAAAAATAATAAAATAATTTTTTTTATAATGTTTAAATTTACTGGAATTAAGTTTAAATTATAGACAAAATTTATTGTCTAACTTTTAATCAACTAAGAATAATAATAATAATAATTTTTAAAGTTTTTGTATTATCGTCGTCGTCGTCGTCGTCGTTATTATTAATATTAATATTATTATTATTATTATTATTAAATTGCAAATAAGAATAAGAAGAAGGGAAAAAAAAGTTGGAAGAGTATTAAATTTAAAAATAATTGTTATTAAGGTTCTAATTAAAAATACAAATTTTTTAATATTTTTTTTTTTTTTACAATCCTTTCAGTCTCCATTTTTTTTCCAACCTTCCCTCTCTCTCTCCCTTCCCCCCAAAATAAAAACAACCCTCGTGAAAATCAAATTTTTATTTAAAAAAAAATCTG